GGAATTGTTTCCCATTCTCGATGCAACCTATTTGACAGACGAACAGCGACAGATCGAAGGTGAGATATATAATCTATATCCAGCACCAGTTCAGTGGACCGACACCGAAATAACCGCTCTCAATGGTAAAATATCTGCTCACGTTGGCCAACCATGGTTGATAAAATCCCATGCCATACACCAAATGAATGAGTTGGAAATATGTGAGAGAGCATATCGAGAACTGAATGCAAATGAGGCGTTAACACCGCAGGGTCGCCTTCATCAAATGATACATTATTGTTATCGAACCGCTCGGTTAAAGTTAAAACCTGAATCGGCTCTACGCCAAGAGGACCTGGTCGGAAGGTTTCAATCGAAGATTCGTGAGCTTCGGATGTCTTCACCGAATACGGTAATCCCGACGTGCGATTCCCGATTAAGTTTGAACTCGACTTTCCATGGGTTTGATAATGAACGGGGAACAATGAGTTTAGCTCAAAATACTGTTCCATCACCACGTTTACCCTTAACTAGACCGGATCCGATTTCAAACCAGTATATACCGATTTCGGTTCAGGCAACTGAACCACGGTATACCCTGACCACTAGTACGGTTAATTCAAATGCTCAACCAGCAGTTCCTAATTCATTGTCAGGCGAAACGGAACCAACACCCTCATTGCACCAACTGTCTGTAATGGTGTCTGAGTTGTTGAGAACACAAACACAGATGCAACAGCAAATGATCCGTGATCGGATTCATTTGCAGCCAACAATACCTGACGTTCGTGACATTAACCAAACCATGCCACCGACCTTGAATCATACCTGGATACCACCATCGGTGGATCCTCCTCATGTTTCTTTGGTTGGTCCGTCACCCTTACAAACTCAAATGACCAATACCTACCGTGGTGTTAGAACGTCTCATACCCAAGAACCAATTAATGAACCATCTCATTTATATCCGAATTATTCGCTATCCGGTCCACCGCAATCACGACCAAATCAAGCCACTATATTCGACGAATCTGCCCAAGCGGATGCAATGGATAGGAAATTTAGAGGCTTACCATCATGGATGGGACGTGCTCAATTCGATGGCGTTCACGTAAACGAAAAATTTCTATCGGTTGAAGATTATTTGGCTATTATTGGCTCATTTCGATATAAGATCGGGGTACCCGACCATGAATTGGTTACGCGTTTGGTACCCACACTCACGGGGGCCGCTCGACAATGGTATTTCACCGAACTGAGAAAGTTCGGAGATTATCAGGATTTTTGCACAAAACTTCGTGCTCGTTTCCTCAACAAACATACTCGGGCTCAAGTAATAATGTCATATGCGCAGATTAAATTCGACCCACGGTCGCAAACACTGTTGAAACATATCGATGACTTGACATTCCAATTGCAGGGTAATGCCTGTGGCCTGGATGAACGGGATCACCTCGATATCATCACCGGTACCTTATCCGATCATCTTCGTGAACTCGTCCACACTCGACAAGTCCACACGTTAGAACAATTGCGGGAGTTCGCTCAGCGAATTGCACCGCATTCGTTCATTGTTGCCACATCCCGTCCGGAAAGGACCCGTTCGGATAGACAACGATCAGAACCACGGGAAATTTCGGCACTACATGATTCGCCGGATGATTCTTCACATTCGGAATATACCGCTTCGTTCCCTGGATCCGACTCAGATGACAGGGAATGTGCATACGTGGGCAAGCATAAGAAACCCTTTAAACCATCTCAGAAACGTACGGATTCGAAACCAGTCGGTGATTATAAAAATGACACAAATCGAAATGAGAATGACACGAAAGCAGGAACCATCGTCGACCCATTTCTCACTGTTGAGGGGGACGAAAATTTACGATGTGCAAAATGTCTCGTGTGGGGTCATCACTTCAAAAGGTGTCGAACCCAACCGAATCGGGTGATATGCTACAAATGTACACGACCGGGAGTGACGTCGGACCAATGCCCGTGTTCAAAAAACGCATAAGTGAGTCGATTGGGAATAGTGGCCCATCGTACTCAGAATCCATAACTTTTTCTAAATCCACTGTCTCTAATAATCCTCATTCTACCGAAGTCCCTCTACAAATCGACACATCTTCAGTCCCGAATTCCAGTAATAATTCTACTCTGATTCTTAACGAATATAATCAAACTCAAAGGGATGACAAAGAACCATCAACCAAATGTTCTGAACGGACACCACCAATTACCAAACCTACTTCAGCTCCAGTCCCTAATCACAAACAAGACGCGGTTAATCAAGTTAACCAACCACGACTCCGCGATGTTTTCTTTATCTCAGAGAAATGTTTGACCTATAACATTCCGAACGATTGTCGCGATTACCTCACGGTTATGGTTAACAACCATTCTCATACGGTTTTACTCGATGGTGGAGCCGAAGTCACAGTCGTATCACAAACGTTTTATGAGAAGCACAAATGGGGACAGTTGCAACCTACCAAAACATCCATTGGTCTTGCCGATAATTCGATCTCTTTTAAGGCCATTGGTAAAGTGAATGTATTATATACGGTCGGTAGTCTTACCCGAATTGTGCCAACTATTGTCGTTCCGATCTCACTGAAACACCCAATTATGGGACGGACATTCCTTGAGGCCTTCTTTTTCGAACTGGTGCAGAACCAAGAAAAAGTGGAGCGATTTTTAAAAAATACAGCCAAAGGTGATACGGAAGAGGTTGCATCCGCGAAAGTTGAAATGGTTACGGCGGATGAATTTATTAATTTTTGTAACCAATGGAGTGGGAAAGAACCAGCTCAGGTATCATCTATGAGTAGTGATCTGGAGCCAATTGACGCTTCCCCACTCGGTTTAGACGGTGACATAGATACACCAAAAATGACCAGCGTCAGCCTTCCACATAATCTCACTCCAGAACAAAGACAAATGTTGGACGCCGTTCTCAAACTTTTTAATCCAACTCCTGTGTCTGGTCCCTTAAATGTCACTAATCAGATCGAACACGTAATTGACACAGGTGATGCAAAACCCGTCATGAAACGCCAGTATCCAGTATCGCCATACGTGGCTGAACAAGTTCAAGCCGAACTGGACAAAATGCGTAGTCGTGACATCATTATGACCATCGAAGAAAGTCCTTGGCGGTCACCAATTCTGGCTGTAAAAAAAGAAAGACGGAACTTGTCGCGTATGCTTGGACGCAAGAGAATTGAATAAAATCACCGTTCCAAATGCCTATCCAATTACGGATACTAACCAGATTTTAGCACGACTAAAGTCAGCAAAATACCTAACCAGTATTGATCTGTCTCAAGCTTTCTTTCAAATTCCCTTGGCAAAATCGAGCCAACTGAAAACAGCATTTGCATTCGGGAACAGGCTTTACGCTTTTCGTCGCATGACGATGGGGTTGAGAAATTCACCCGCCACATTAGCCATTCTCATTGATAAAATTTTCCGGGATTTAGTTCCACATGCATTCGCATACGTGGATGATTTCATAATTTGCACTTCGACGTTTGAAGAACACGTTAAGATATTGGCTATTGTTGCAAAACGTTTGGCTGGGGCCGGCTTAACCATCTCAACATCCAAATCGAATTTTTGCTGTAAACGATTGGAATTCCTGGGTTACGTTTTGTCTCAAGAGGGTCTATCTGCGAATCCATCTCGTATTCGAGCTATTGTGGAATTCGCACGGCCCAAAACGGCAAAAGAAGTCAGACGGTTTGTTGGTGCAGCAGGCTGGTACCGTAAATTTATTCCAAATTTCTCGGAGATCACAGCTCCCCTTTGTGAATTGTATAAAGGAAACCGAAAGGGACCCATTGAATGGAATACCGCTGCTGAACAAGCCTTTCTCAAACTCAAAGAGTGTTTAACTACTACTCCCGTGCTGACTATGGCAGATTATTCAAAACCATTCAAGGTTTATACCGATGCCTCGCTGATCGCGGCGGGAGCTGTTCTAGTACAAGAACACGATGGGAATGAACGGGTGGTTCAGTATTTTTCAAAGAAATTCTCGAAAGCCGAACAAAATTACACAGCATCCGAACGGGAATGCCTAGCCGTTCTCTTAGCGGTCGAAAAGTTTCGTCCATATTTTGAGGGTCGTGAATTGGTTGTGGTAACGGATCATGCAGCGTTACGCTGGCTACAAACTCTCAAAGATCCAACTGGTCGCTTATGTCGTTGGGCGATCCGATTATCACCATACGAACTCAAAATTATTCATAAACCAGGAAAACATTTGGAACTTCCTGACGCCTTATCTCGTTCTTTTGCTCTTCTCAACATCGTTCGCAGAAACCCAATTGACCTTCCGAGTGATTTTCACGTGAATCTTTCCCCAATCACGTCCGTGATTAACATTGACCCAAATACTGGCGATAAATGGTACAACAAAATGCATGCCATGGCCTCAAAACAACCATTAGATAGATACAAAATCGAAAACAACCTTCTATACCATCGATTGAAATTTTCCAATCAAAGTGCGGAAATACTGTGGACACTTTGTGTACCATCTTCTGAGAGAGCCAAAGTTCTCGATGAAAACCACAACCAACATTCGCATCAGGGTGTTTGGAAAACTTACAGACGTATCTCACAACGCTATTACTGGCCAAACATGTATGAGTCCGTTTACCAGTACGTTCGGCAATGTGAACTATGCCACCGCATTAAACCAAGTAATGAGAGCACCAAAACACCTCACGGCGAATATAGAGAACCAAAACGACCAGGTCGTCAATTATCGATTGACTTTGTCGGTAAGCTGCCCATGTCTAAAAATCGTAACCAATGGATCTTCGTAGCCATCGACTGCTACTCGCGATATGTCTGGGCGCAGCCCATGAAAAATGCAAACGCTATATCCGTAGTCAATTCTCTTCGACATATATTCACTGTGAATGGCTGCCCCGAACTCATTATATCAGATAATGGTACTCAATTCGTCAGTCAAACTTTCGCAAAGCTTTGCGCCGATTATAATATCAAACACATGAAAACCCCTTTGTACCATCCACAAGCCAATCAGGTGGAGGCGACAAACAAAAGCATAAAACTTGGATTACGTGCTCACATGGCTGATCTTCTTGAACACTGCTCCTGGGAAAACCATCTTTCTCGTGTTATTCATGATATTAACACTTCAGTGCATTCAGCCACGGGCTACACGCCATATTTTCTGCACACCGGTCGTGAATATGTGAAAGATGGAAACGAATATAAATTATTATTGGATGTAAATCCATACCATACCCAGGATGTGGAACAACGTAAAGTTCTGGCTGATGAAATTCGAGACAAACAGTTCGAACTATATCAACAAACCGCACAACGAGCATTGACCCGCAAAAGAGAACGTCATTTCGAAATTGGCTCGGAAGTGTACATTCCCAATCCTAAACAGTCTGTGGCCGGAGAGGGCTATGCACAAAAACTAGCCCCACCAAAAATTAGAGCCTATGTTTCACGGAAACTTGGTTCGAATTCATATGAACTGATCGATGCTAAACACCGAGTGCTTGGCAATTATTCCGCCGATTTAATCACAACACGTTAACTTAGTCAGTACCTTCGCCTTCTCAAGAAATTCAATGAATATAGGGTGGCCCTCCATACTTGATAGATTTTGCATTATTACAAGGTACCCGGCTCCTAGTAAACAAAAACCAATGGGATATTCCCTTAGATTCGAAACACATCCCTAGCGCAATCGATCCGCCACATTCGGGTAAATCGCGTATCGATAACTTTGCCGTTGCGCTAGTCAATCAGAAAGGGACATCGTCAGGGAAATTTGCAAAAACCGACGCCACTTTTACTTATTGGATTGCCGCGGTCACCCGAACTTTTACGCACGCTTAATACTGACAAGTGGACAAGGTAAGCGGTACACGTAGTAACGGGGTTGGGTGTGTGTAGTGGGGAGCAATAAAAATCCACACCCGTTTACGATTCGCAGTCCTCTACAAATTCACTCTCAACTTCAATTTTAGAACCATGGTACTCCCGTCGTATGTGAAGGTGGGCCAACAAGTACAACACCTTATGCGCCTAACCATCAAGTGGAACCACAAGGATGCGCTGCCGATATTCGCGCTCGAGGTCGACCCTAAAGCGCAACAACCCCC